CCCTGGTAGTCCGACTGTGGTTTGTTTTGGTTTAACATTTCATATAGGAAGGCTTGTAAAGTTTGTTGAATTTATTGTTTTTTAACTTTATTCGAATGTTTTATTTGTAAATTGTGTTTAAATCAATTAGAAAATATTAATATAAGTGAAATTTCATTAAATTTAGAACTTTTAGAAGATTCTTAACGACAATTTTATGGGCAAGTATAAATATAACCTACAAAACAAACTGAAAATAATTATACTTTTGCTTCTTGTTACAAAATATGTAAACTAAAAACAACAATAATAATACTTTTGTTTTCTGTTACAGATGCTCTGGCATTGTTGTGTACCTAGTTGCAAAACCAATTATGCCAGTACTTTAAAAACGAAACAGGCAGAAAGTATGTTTTTGTTTCCCAAAGATCCCCAAAGAAGGTATACTGGGTTATGCTCTATTCATAGAGAAGGCTGTACAATTACCAAATCTTCCGTAGTATGTGCCAAACATTTTCATGAAGATGATATTCAGCGGACTGAACAATGAGAAGATAAAGATGGAAATGTACACATTGAAAAGTTAATATTTCCCAAATTAAAAGGCAATGCAGTTTCTAATATATTTCCTGAAGTACCATCATATGTAACTGTTCATCGTACTAAAGAAAGAAGAAATCCTGAAGACAGAAGAAACTTTTTGCATAAGAAGAGGGAACAAGAGATAACATAATTATGTCAATTAGACTTAGACAATAATATCCCATTGAAAAACTGGACAAGTAAAATTACAAGTGACTGTGTATATTTCTATGTATTAAACATTAATCAGTTGGGACACAAGTGTGATAATATTTGTGTAATATGTAGTGTAATAGTTAGCAGTAATTTTAGTGTAATCGTCAATGTAGGTAAGAATAGATTAAGTGGTAATGATTTGAAATGGATTTTACAATATAGTAAATTAACAAGATGGTCACAATTAGAGAACTTACTTTCTCATTTAGATCTGCTTTTTAGATAAGTGATAACAAATTTGAGTATTACATTCAAAAATCTTTTGAGAATATAGGCTATTTTAAATCGATATACAAGTTATAAATGGTATGTTACATTCAACACATTTTTCATGTATACCTCTTTTAACTTGGTCTATATAACAACAAACCTATTCATATTTAAAATTGCTACTTTTGTATATCTAAGTATGAAAATTCAACAAAAGTTATAAGTAAATAGTAAAATATTTAATTTTCAATTAGATTAATTTAGAACCATATTTATATTGTGTCTGATTTCTTAGGATGAATTTTTTAATCATAATAGTTACACTAAGTTTTTACTTAGCACAAATTTTATATCTTTTGTATTTTTAATAATCTTTTTAAATATCGTGTTAATGTATTATTTATATGCTTAAGTACTTAATATTTAAAATTTCTAGAGATTCTTGACTGCATTTGATTGTAAGATTAACTGTTTGACACTGTATTTTAAGTGCAATACATTTTACTCTAGTGATTATTTTATTGATAATATAACCTAAATAATAATAAAACTTTATATATATTTACTAGGTATATATAAGGTTTTATTAATTTAGTTTCCCTAAAAATATTTCTGTAATGAATTGAAGTTTTCAAAATATCAGTTTCCTAAAATTCAAATTAGTTTAATATTCTGGTAGACCTTACAGCTGATTATCGGACTACCGACGTCATAGAATGCGGTGTTGCCTTTTTTACTTCATGGCTTGGAAGTAAAGGTGGCTGTGTATACACACATAAGATAGTTATAAACATTTTAAATATTATTAAATAAAGCACAATAAGGTAACAAAATATTAAAAAGTAAATGTAAACCGTATTGCTCTGCACCGCAATGGTAATTATCGATCGGAAGGAATAAGTATGCATTTTTTTCCTCGTGACAAAGATCTACAAGATCGTTTGGAAACAGGAATTCAAACTTGGGAAATCGATATCAAGTGATATGATGGTGTCTTCACAACATTTATCAATAGATTTTTTTTCAAGTAAATTTTTTGAACAGAATTGCAACATTTATTATACAGTGTGTAAAAGCCAAATGGAATAAATTCATTATTTAGGTTACTGTAAATATTTATAAAAAATCCCGAAATACGTCAAATTTAAATTATAACTTGACACTTTAACGTGAAAATGCAACCCCTACCTTCAACCCCCTTAGAATGACAGGTACAACCCCCAATTTTTAAAATAGGAAGTATAGGCTAGTGATATATCGTTTGAAAGGTATTTTCATTCTCGATTCAAAAATGTTGTAGCTTTCAAGTTTGTTAAGATTGATTAATATAGAATAAATTAAAATCATGTGGTTACCGAAATTCGCTAAAATATACTCAAAACTTATTTCCCGTTTAGGTCTTGATAATGAGAAAGTGAACAAAAACCATAGCAATGTGGTTTTTAGATAGTAACCATTAAAAAACTTTAAACAATTTCCGTGGCAACGTTATTTTAATACGCATCAGTAAATTGTTTTATTTAAGTTGTCAGTATTTTAATTTAGACAAAAAGTTCGTTCAATTCAATTCTGAAAAATGGTTAGATTAACGGAAATGCATAAACTAACAGTTTTACAAATGATTAGTTACGGAGATAATACCCGAACACAACAGGAAGTAACTCGCCTATTTCATGAGAAATTTCCTAATTTACCGCCTATATCCCAAGGAACAATAAGTAAAATAGAGAAGCAGTTTCGCGAGTTTGGTCATGTAAGGCAGATAAAAAAGCAGCTACCAACGCACTGAGTGATGAACTTTGCCACCCACTCTCTTCTCTTAACATATCCACAGTGATTTCATGTGGGACAGAATTTAAATTAGTCGTTTGCAGACACAAACCGACTAATTTATTATTATATTTGCCACACAACACAACGTGGCCAGCCTTTAACAAGGCCTCGTTTGCTTTTAAAGGTCTTTTTGTGTCTCCTATATATTTCAAAATATGGAGCAGACTAACTTCAATTTCTTTATTTGCCATTGCGTTAACAAAAAAATAAATGAAAGATAATAAGTAGGTAAATACGGATAATTTTTAGACACAACAATGATTCACCTACAAAGATTATGGTAGCTCTGTTTTGTTTTCTTACGTGCGTGATCAGCTGATCATCTGTCAAAGCGCCCCCTATAGTTCGTAGACATCGCCAATTACTCTTAGGACACAGAAGAATAAACAATCAGAAGGGCCACTCTCAGATGCCGCCTTTGAAGTTTTTCAGCACGCGCGCCATGTTTTAGGAGGACACAGATGATTTGTGTGGTTATGTAATTGTTTATATTTATGTTTAATTATATTATATTTATGTTATTATATTTAACAATGTTAATATAATTGTATAGTATGTCTATGATTGCCGTAAGTCAAATAAACCTGGTTAATTTTTCCATGCACACCACATAAACAACACTAATTTCTTTAAAATCCTCCTAAAACATGGCGGAACGTCTGCGCGGAGGAGATGCGCGTACTTAATTTTCCGTGGAGAGTGGGTATTCTGTTTGTTCATTATTCTGTGCTTAGGAAATCTAAATAAACTTATTCCTTTTCCTGACACAGATGAACATCCGCTGAACGCACAAACATAACCAGACATTTTAAATATAAATTAAACTTTTAACTATAAACTATAACTATAAAATTATATATTTAACTTATATATTTTAATTATAACCATAAACCGTAACTATAAACTTTTAACTATAAATAAATTATATAAATGGTCAAAAATGTACGTTTGTTGAGTCGAGTATTTACCACAGACGAATACGGACTACCGTTTATCGTAAAACAACCAGAGCAAAGTTAAAGAAAAAGCACGTAGCACGTGTTGATGACAGCTAAGCAACCAGAATCGGAAATGCGTATATAACATTTTTCATATAAAGAAGCTTCCACGTCATTCCAGATTTACGTCGACAGAACCCCACAGCTTTGCCAAAACATCAGAATAGTTACTAAGTGAGGAATTTTTAAAATGTCACCTATTTGTCAAACTATTAAATTAACAGTAAATACACTTAGTTTTCAGACTACTGCAACAGATTAAAATACATAAGAAAACATTTTAATACAAAGTTATATATTCTAAATTAAAACTTACCTCTTTAGGGCTTCAATAGTAAAAACATCCCGGCATTATTTCTTGTTCAAAATAATCTATCTTATATGAAAGCTTATCAGCTTTCTACAGACTATTTATTTGTTTTGGCATATCACAATCATAATACAGAAAAAATAATTAGTGTTTAAGCTATTAATCTAAATTTAAACTGTATTTATAAATAGAATTTATAATTATATATTATATTATGATCACATTGTGTAAGAAATCAAAATATAAACAAAATTTCTGCTCTAAAAAAGCGGCAACATTTTATACACTTTTGACACACGCTGAACCGTCAATAATATTTGATGTATTTCCGTATCAGTTGCGTACAATTGTCTAATATATTTAATTAAAATTATTATTTTGTGGAATATTAGATTTCAAGAGTTATTTCATAAAATTTATATTATTAATAATAATAAATGTTTTTGGCTATTTAATCATTATAATTCTAAAATTTCCAATATAATGATGATTTCATTTTTCTGATTATTACACTATGTTGACGCCTATGAAAGATCGAGCAGTTCCGTGTGGGTTTCGTATTATTAGCTGTGTTACGAAAATGTGAACTCTAAGGTTGATGTTCTGGAAATTTTAAATACGAGTGACGTTACTTTGTATAAATCGTGACGTAAAAGTGTTTTACTTTGAAAAATAGTATATAAACATTTGTGGCATAGTATTTATGTGGCAACGATGTACAATGTAGCGAAATCAGAAACACCGAACATGAAGAACTTCATGTGACGTCTCAATATGGTCTATTATGTACTTTGATTTGTAATCATTTGTCAGTGAGATAAATATATAATATGAATTTATATTCGATTTTTTAAAATATATTTAAATTTTGTGGAGACTATTTTCAAATGTAATATAACGATGTGTTAATAAAGTGTACAGTGCGTGTGTATGTTCAATTGTTTCATCGACTACTTTGCCACATAGTTTTTGGTATGTTTTTGTAGTTTGAATAAAATCAACAACCTTCATTTCTTTTTAATACTAATATGAATATTTAATGTATATTTATTTGTAACTGTTATTACCCACTTTGGTATGCCAAACGTCAAGGCTGACGTCAAATTTAACGCCTCCATAAAAAGAGAATAGCAATCAAAAACAAAATACTTCACAGGAGTTTGCACAAATGTATTTTCTAGTCTGTTGACATAAACAGGATAATTAAATTCTGATAAGGATAATGATGGGATTAATTAATTAGTTTTAAAAAATTTTTATTAGTTTTACAAACATTTGCCCTATAATTATTAACATTTTATATATTTTTAGTCATGCCAGATGCAATTACATTTTAATTTTAAAACTGGACTAAGATTTAAAATTATGCTATAAACAGTGCATGGTTTTAATATTTGTCTTTCCTTATTACTTTTTTAAAACATCAATTATTTTTGGTTGCAAAAGTGAAGTTTTCTAACCTTCAAAGACCCAGATTAAAATAAAACATAAACTGAGGTAGATAACAGCCCCTACCATTTTCCTTAAACTATATACTTAATAAGAAAATAAGATCAATTCAAATTGACAAAATGAATAAAGGTAATCAAGGATAAATAGAGCATTTCAATAATTTGTAATAAAAACCATATACCTATATATTTTAGAACTGATAAAAAAGTGACAGCTTGTATGTTGCTATAAATAATTTCTCAATTTTCCATATTTGTTACAATGAATTCTACAGAAGAATGTGTATTGTCATTGTTGATATGGGTTTTGACCACTTACCAGTGACCTGTACCATCATAGTTTGTTGATTCTGATGCCTTTTGTTATTCCAAAGTTTTATGCCCATGATTTCTGGAATTCTCTTGTTTTTTACTCTAATCTTGATTTACCAGCTGTTTTCCTCCAATAATCCATTTCTGTTGCTTTCAAAGTCTTTATGACTTTTTTATTCAGTGGCCATATTTCTGTTTTTTTGACATTTACTTCTATAGTAGGCTCGCTATTCCTATTCTGAACTGTCTAGTGATTTTTTTTTTATATAATTATGTTTATTTACAATCTACATCAAAAAAAGAGTATTAAGTAAATGTGATACAGGTTTTGCACGTGAAGGAGGGACATCCAATGATGTTGTCTTTGCACAGCCCCATAGGTGTAGTCCGTAGAACCAGATAGGTTTGAGCATGGCTTTGTATAGAAGAATTTTGTTTTGGATGTTAAGTTTTGATTTACATCCAAGAAGCCAGTACATTTGCCGGAATTTTAAGTTGAGCTGCCTTCATTTGGTCTGGATATTTTTCTTCCAAGTGAGACATTGGTCAAGATGAAGGCCAAGGTATTTAGTGTCTGTTACTGTTGGTATTCTTATATTTTCCATCCTTACAGGTGGGCATATATTGTGATGGTTGGTAAATGTTATTTGAGTTGATTTTGTTTTATTTACTTTTGTTCTCCATTTCGTATACCAATTGCTAAGTAGGTTCAGATAATGTTGCAGGTTTTGTGAGGCTTATATGGGATCTTAATTTACGGCTAGTATTCCATAACATCTGGTCATTTGCTGTAAGATTTGTAATGTAATGTTCGAAAGTTTTGATGTTTGCGGATGTGATGGCTACTCCAAGTTGCCTACTTAGTCTATTGAATATATGTAGGTCTATGTTGTTTCTAGATCTTTGCCAAGTTCTCCTCGCGCGACATTTTTCAGCAATGAGTTGGCGAATGTGCAGGGGAATATTTGTGGTATGTGTTGGTTTGCATTCAGTTCGTGGTGTAGATTGCCATGCCGCTTTTTGCACAAGTGTGGGGAAGTGTTGAGCTGCTGTATCTATGTCATGTGTGGATTTGATCCGCTCATTAAGATTGGTGTTTTCTTCTAGGTAAGATTGAAAATCTGCCCAGTTGGTGTTTTTTGACTTAAGTTGAGGAGGTGGTAGGCTGTTTATAACAGTGGTACTCAGGTTCATAATAACCAGTGTATGATCCAATGAGAGATCATAGCTGTATTCTATTGTAGCTAGACAGTTGTTTCTGGACACTCCTTTGCTTATGTAGTAGTCCAGCAGATCTGGAAGTTTTCTTGGGTCACTCGGCCAGTACGCAGGGACTACGAGAATAAGCAGAACATCAATTTTATTTAAGTTTAAAAAAGTAATTACTTCTTGCTTATGGTTTAGCAGGCCGTTAGGGTTCCATGTGGCAACTCTAAGTATGTTTAAGAATTTCTTTGGTTAACGACTTGTATTAGTAAATTTAATATCATACTGTTTTGACTCATGAGTTGCGAGAACATGTTTTTGAACTCGTTTAGGAATGTTAATAGTTGTTGTTCTATATTAATTTTAGGTTCTGAATCGTGATTGGTTTGATGTGCTGTCACATTTGCATATGTTCTTTGATGGTTTTGTAGAGTATTTAGTTAATTTGTTTCAGTACATACATTTTACTGTTGAATGTTGGTCTTTGATGCTGTTGGTTTCCCCTTTTCTGCATATGTCTGTTTTCTACTAGTTCCCTGTAGACTACACAGTCCTTATAGTTAGCAGGGTGATCTTGCTTGCATAGTGCACACTTAGTTAGAGTGCCTCTAGGTTTTTTACAATCTTTTGTATTGTGTTGTCTTCCACATTTGACGCAGTAATGCGGTTTAGTGCAATAGGTTTTACTATGACCATATCCTTGACGTCACATGCATTGAATGATTGAGTTTCTCTTATTTGGTGTGACATAAGAATTCTAGGTTGAATATGTCTTTGTTGTTACTGTTGGATTCAAGATCTATGAAAAACAAAGATAAGGGTTCCTTTGTTTGTCTGTGTCGAATGTTAGTTAAATTGCAAACTTTATGGCTGGCTTTTTCTAGTTCCTTTGTTATATCTGTTGTGGGTATAGAGTGATGGATATGTCTTATTACCACTCTTTAGGCACGTTCTTCCTTTATTTGGTAAGTGTGGTGAATGATTTCTTCTTCTTGTAAATGTCTTATCAGTTTATGGTATGTATCTATTGTATATGTTGTAATCTTGACAGTGTCTTTTGGTAGAGTTCTGGTATAGTAGGTTTCTTCCTCCACAATTTTTGCAAAGTTATCGACCATGTCTTTAAAGTTTTTGACGCCATATACGAATATTGGAGGTGGTTTTGGTACTTTCTGTTGTTTTTCTGTTTCAGTCTGTTCAGAGCTCTTGGCGTTAAATAATTCACTGTATCGTTTTGTATTTTTGTTGATGGTGAGCTTGGAGAATTGAGATCATTATTTTGTTTTGAAAATTTACATCTTTTGACTACTTGCCATGAGTTTTTGTTTTGGGTTAAATGATCGTTGTCTTTGCTAGACTCAATATCCGAGTTTTCTAAATGTGTAATTGCAAGTTCTAGCTTTGTGTTTGAGGTCTGACATACACTAGATGGGTTGCTTGGGTTGTAGTAAATTGGTTGGGGTTGTGGGGGAAATTGTTGTGGTTGTGGTGGAAGAGCGAATTGATTTTGTGGAATGTTTGATATAGGAGTATTTGCGGGTTGCCAGTATATCGCGGGTGCTGCCATTTTTGCCAAAAATGAGATTTTTCCAGATTTAAACATGTAGCATAAAGATGCACCTTTGTTTAAAATCCCGTATTTGTATGATTAAGCCGAAAGCCTAAAAATCGCTATTGAAAAATCTCCTACCTGACTAGAGGAAATAAACAAGACGCAAATTATCCTATCTAACTAGTTTGTGTGGTAAAGTTATGCGCTACGGACGTGCTTGGACTTGTCTGACGTTTTATTGCGAAAATCATACTAACTGCGTAAGTATTTCAATCGTTTATTCAACATGTGTGTTTATTTAGTTATGTTAAAGGTATTTTAGATACATTCCTTATTTTTATCGAAACTAGAAGGATGTTTCTGCTCCTGTTCCTGATCCATCACTATGGATAAGAAATGAAATAAAAACAAAAGGTTAAGGATGAAGGGAAAACCTTATCTTGGCTTTGGTAAAAATAAAGGAGAGAAAATGAGTCAAAATTGCCCAAAAAATGGGAGAAGCATTAAAGAAACATTTAACTCAAAGAAATGTAAAAACGCTAAAGTGAGGTTTTGCACGGAAATATCTGAAGAATATACGGCAGCTATTTTATAAAAATTTTTGGAATGATCTGAATTGGGATCAGCGTAAAGTTTTCGTCGCATCACATGTTATAAAAGTTACAACTCATACGAAAACCAAAGAAAATTCCAGTAGATTAGGCACATATCATTATTATTTAAACGATGCAAACGAAAATCTTGAAGTTTATCGTACCATTTTCTTAAATACACTAGATCTTGGCTACAAAACGGTTCAAGCTTGGATCGACAACAGCAAATTTGGAATGCGTAAAGAAGCTTTTACAAGTATAACCACCAAGGAATACGTAAGAAGGAGATTCGATACGGATTATTAAATAACTTTTTTGAATCATTACCCAAACTTCCATCTCATTACTGTCGTCGAGATACTCTTAAACTGTACCTGGAAAACACCTTTCAAAACATGGCTCAACTTTACAGTGTTTACTGTCATGACTTTTGCAACGACAAAAAAGTAACTCCATTGGGAAGAAATGAAATTTCTAAGAAGTTTAAAGAGAAAAACTTGTCACTATACAAGCCGAAAAAAGACCAGTGTAATGCATGTTTTTCGTTTAAATATGGAAATATTTCCGGAGAAGAATATCAGTTGCATATAAAAAGGAAAGATCTTGCGAGACAAGCTATACTGATAAAGAAAAAAATAATAATCATTACAATAAATCTGCAGGCAGTCAAGTTATGTCCTTTTCTTCCCGATAATAAAATCTATTTTAAAATAAAGCTCTGTTGTCACAATTTTACAGTGTATGACCTTATCATGATGTTCTCCGATGGATGTGGATATCAGAACAGAAACAGTGTTTTAGCTAATGCCCTATTAAATTTTGCTATGAGATACAATATCTTTGTATACCAAAAATTTC